TACCGCAGCGCAAGCACGCCCGGACAAGCGCCGAAAAGGATAACAAGGAATAAGAGAGCAAAAGACAGAAAGAAAGGCAAAAGAGAAACACGAGAGACAAGACTAAAGGGAAAAGAAGACCGCTCGCGCACGAAAGGACAAAGCGACGCAAGAGAAAAACAGGAAAAGCGAACAGAGAGAAGACAAGGAAAGGAAAAGAGTAGAAAAACGAACGGAAAAGAGAAAGAGAGAGAAAACCGCAACGGAATAGAGAAGAGAGACGAAGACAGAAAAGAAAGGGAGAGAAGAAAGAAAAGAGAAAAGAGAGAAGCGCGAAAGAAAAGGAGAAGAGACGAGATAGCCCGCACAGCGAAAATGGGGTGGAAGAGACGCACGCAATGAGAAGCTAATAAGAGCGACAGCAGATGAAAAGAGTACGCGAGGAGAGCCGGAAGTGAAGAGAGCACGACTAGGACAGTCACACTCTCTCTATCTCATCCACTTCACTCTCTCTCTCTACATCCCTTACACAATCTACTCTCGATCCCTCCTCCACGGGTCACCTTACGTTAGGGATTATCTTGTAGCAGTTGTGTTCGGGGCAGCGGATCTCTCTCCCGAGACCTTGCTCTATCTGTCCTGACAGATACCTGCAGTAATAGACACACCGCAGAGTGTGGGTACAGTGGGTAAAGTGTGAGGGATAAATCTTGCTAGTTTATCACCCATCTGTTGTAGTACAGCTATTCCATGACATCTTGTGGGAGGAGACATTACTATTGCAGGGAAGTCTGGGAAAAGTGAAGCTCAAATTAATTGCTACTGAAACATAAAGGTTTGCTGCCTCGACCTTTATCTGCTCCACAGTGCACGCAGTATGCTGCACAGCCAATTCACGTGCACTGGTGTCGGTTCAAGAAATTCACATCAATTTTACTGCAACGTGAAAGTTTCCCGCCTCAAAATCGCTCCACAGGGCATAGTAGTAAACCATTACACAGCCAATTTATGTGCAATTGTGTCAGTTTAGAGACATGTGTACTCATGTCTTTCAGCTACAGCACCTATGCACACTACTGAACTGTGTTTTTCAGGACAAGTCACATGGTATGGAGGTGTATGCTGTATATGCAGATGTCTCTCCATTCCTCCACTTTCAACCTATTATTCAGACTTCTCTGATGATTCCTCAACTCACTGTTTCCAACAGTCAGTGCAGAAGTGGTGAGAGCAGGGGACCTGAACCATGTTGTCAGGTGTGTAGGTCAGACAGCATATGTGGCACTGTGGGGAGAGGGGAAGGAGAAGGAAGATGGTGTGAAAGACATAGGAAGAGGATGAGGGGGATGGGGGGGGGTGAGGGTGAGGGAGTGAGAGGGAAAGGGGAGGATGGGGAGGAGTGATGAGAGGAGGGAGTAGAGAGGGATAGAGGCGGAGAGTGGGGGAAGGAGTGAGAGAGAGAGGGCGAGTGGAGGGAGAGCAGGGGGAGAGAAGTGAGAGAGAGAGGGAGTGAGAGAGAGAGAGGGGGAGGAGGAGAGAGGGGGGAGAGAGAAACAGAGGAGAGAGAAGCAGGAGGAAAGAAGGAATGCCTGGGAAAGAGGTGCACGTCATATGCAACAATGGCGAAAGTGAGCTTATGTATTGTGTACTTAGACAATGGTCTGCATATCAGTAGACGATGGCACTCTTGTGTGTGCATGGTCAACAACACCAAAATAGCGAAACACTTCTAGAACCTAGTTTAGCAAAAATCACATATAGGAGTTTTGAAACACACTTAGTCGTGTGCATGGCCAACCAACAAACATTACATACGATAATATGGTAAACAGCACACACGCAAAACCCTATGTAACTGGAGCCTGGTTTTGGGGCAAATCCCAAAAAGGTCTTTGGTGTAAATACTGAAGACACAGCACCAATACCTCAACATTGGAAAGAGAGGAGGAGAGGGTGTGGTCAATGTTAGTATCGTCTCTCGGGGCGACGGTGGCTTGGTCTAGCCCCGCCTTCTCACAGGCCGCTGCTCTGTCCTCTGACCACGCCTCCTTGACAAGAACATCCGACCAGCCTAGAGGAGGATAGGGGTTAATGGACATACGTAATTCAATACTGCTGGTTCTTTGTTTAAGACTAAGGTTTTAGTCACGAAATTTGATGGCACGAATTTTGCAGGTCGTAACCCATGTTTTCATAACCTGTTTTTCTTATGACGTACTATGCATTGAGTAACCAACAACATATTTCGTGCAAAAATAAAGTAACAAGGACTTCTATCACATAACCTCTTCTATTGTAGTCCTATGTACACATAACCGTAGCTGCTGCAGATGAATGCACAATGTTAAATAAACTTACTGTAGGCCATCAACAGAGCTTGAGCACTGAAGTCTGTGATCTGTAAAACAACCACGAACAATAATGATATTCATTGCCATTGAAACCACAATTGTAGTGGCCACATTCAGCTACTTAAGCAGGCCCGAGTTGGCCCACAGCTCATCGTCCTTATTGAGGTGAGCATGACACTGGCAGGGATCCAAGAGTGAGCCGTGTCTGCTGACACCCTTTATTCAACACAACCTGGATGCCACTCCATGTGGGTGGCTGTCCAATTTTTTGGAGACCCTAACAGGTCGGAAATTATGATACTCTGGTAGACATAAACAGCTGGACAGTGGTGGAAAACTCCTTCTGACACCCTTTATTCAACACAATCTAGATGCCAATCTCTGTGGGTGGCCATCCAAATTTTTGGAGACCCTAACAGGTCGGAAATTACAAGAACGAATGCAGCAGAGTGTTTGTGTGTATCACTAGCTATGTGCAGTGCCCAGTACCATGTAAGAGAGAAAATCCTGCATACAGATGTCTAGGTAGGTGCTTTGCTTGTCAATCATTGGGCAGGCAGAAAAAAAAACAGTGGTGGAAAATACGCTCTCAGAACTTACAGTTTTTACTACAGTGCAGTGTCTCACTGGGTGTCTGGGTGCAGCAAGCTTAGCTGAAACCCTTAACATATCCAGCAGATTGTGTGAGAGTGGATCTTTCTTTACAGCCTACCTACTCTGATCATAGTTACACCACGGCTGATTCATTGGCAAACATGTTGTCAGCCACAGCTTAGACGGCACTTTGGACACTTCACACAAAGTTAGAGGGGTCTGATAGAGAGCAGCCCGATTGCAGTGGGGTTTACAGGTGGCACCTGCTACACTGCTTCTTAACCTATCTACAGAGTATGAAGGATTTGACTAAGCCGACTCTCCATGTTAGCTGTTCTATTTACACACTGCAGCATCATCAGAGCTCTACATTACACCGACCAGGTGCAGTATAAGCATTACTACCCATGTTTTAGATGCCCACTCTGACTCAGCACTTTGTGATTGCAATATAAAGTGCCATTCTTTCCTGAGTTGTGTGGTTTTAGATGCCGACTCCAGCTAACTAGACTCAGCACTCTGTGATTGCAATATAAAGTGCCACTGTTTCCTGAGTTTGTGCATTAGCTTAAGCTCTAGTGGCAGATTAAACAGCAGTGCATTAACGGCTGAATGCATCCACCAAGTGATTGCCTTTACCACAATCGGGAGACTTTCGAAGAAGTATTGCAGAAAGCACAAATCCCCAGGAGAATTTTAGGTGTTCCGCAATACAATGTTGCAAAACCCTCTTGTTACATTCGCACTCTGACATGTTGTCCCTGCCCACTAAATTTTGCGGCATTTTCCCTCTATTGTGGTACAGGAAGGTTGTTAGAAACCGAAAAAGTACTGAAATTGAACTTTTATTCTCTCAAACAGTTCAGTAGTCTCCACACCGTGATATGTATTTTTGGGTGGTGTTTTTTTTACACCGTATAACTTAAAAAAACATTTTCGCTGAAAAGTATTGGTGCAGACGTGCTATATACAACCATTGAGTATTTGTAAACTGTATAGCCTTCAAAGGGGGAAAATCGCCATTTTAAAATTTATGCCAACGTAGCACTGAAGGCGTTGGTATCGCTCATTTGCCGCCTCGTAGCCTGCATTGTCAGAATAGCGGTAACAGACAGACAGACAGACAGACAGACAAACCAAGTGCAGTAACCCTCGCTGCACATGTGCGCCGCCGAGGGTTAACAACAAACAGCCTCACTCAATAAAATCCTGCCTTCTTACACAATAATATACGATGAAGTGTGCATTCTAACTGACAGTTTTCACCTGCAGATCAGTGGCCAAGCGATGGATGATGTCGGCCCTCAGTTTCGACAGTGTCTCTGTGTTGTAAAATGACTGCAGTGGGGGGAATATGGGAAATGATCGGTCCAGGAAATGAAGGTCTATTACTACATAGGAAACTAATAGGGGGGAGAGAAAATAGCAGCTGGGTTTTTCTGCATTTTGATTCCATGATGGTTATCGCCAGTGCTGTATATCATTATCTACTGCAGGTGTGTTACAACTGTTTTTTACAAGCCACGGACACATGAATGTGGGAAGGGGAAAGCAAATAGCAGCTCGATTTTGGTGGAAATATGCATTTTTGAAAGGAAGATATCACGCTTAAATTTCGTCGCCAGTGCTGTATATCTTTACCTACTGCTGGTGTGTTACAACTGTTTTTAATACTAAACCAGCCACAGGCACATGTGTTCAGAGAGCCCCACTACATAGGAAACTGATGAGGGGAAAGCAACTACTACAAATAGCAGTTCGATTTGTTGGAAAGAAGCCTTTTTGAAAGGAAGTTATCATGCTTCAATTTCATCAACCTGTGCTGTATATACATGTAATTTCACTCCCATAAACATAAACATTATTATATCTTTATAACAACTACACTCAGGACAACACTTTTTCTAGGAAAGAAAGAGCTTCCCCGGTGGGACTCTGTGGGTGTGTTAAATACAACTGTTCCAAAGAACTTACTCTGTGTCTGGCTCTGGACATAACCACCTTCTTCCCTTCCTCCGGCCCTGATCCTTGTGACTGCACCAGACAGAAGGTAGATTGTGACTGCATGTTATGATGCTGGCACTTTCAATGTGTACATAGTAGACTGAGATTACAGTTTATACTACAATGCTACTCTGGCAGTAAGGGTAACAAGGGTGTAGTCAGAGTTTCAAAGAGAGGTGTCCGTGCCACAAGTATTATTCTTCTTCGTGTGTATGCGCATAAGTGGGCAGACTTTGCATTACCTCTCACTCGCTCGATCGGCTGGGTCATCATTAAACCCTTTTAGGCGATTCTGAGGCGTTACGAGTATAGCACTTTGACAAGATGATCGCGCCGCAATTTGTCTAAGAACTTAGCAATTGACCCTGTGGTTTCGGCTACCGTGTGAAACATAGCTGCAAGAGCTAAATCGCTGGCTAGCATGGCGTCCACCGTGGGTGGGTCCCCTGATCACCCTTCTGAAAGGACTTTCTCCAGTTTATAAGCAAGTTCTCATTCCAATGTACTCCACAGAACACTTCTGTAATAGTAGTATTCCGATTAAAGTGGAACCCTAGGATTCTTGAAATGAAGACACACCTCCTCAACTTTTCTCTCCGCAAAAACAGTTTAACCCCTAAGGCACCACCCCAATAAGAATATTATCTCCCATTGTGTCAAGGGGTTCCACTGTTACGTGAAACAGAGTGTTCAGAACTCACCATGAAAACCATCTTTGATTCGAGGAGTTTAGCAATGATGAGTTGTTTGGCGTCGCCGGCCGCCTCGCACGGTGTCTGTCCAGCGATGTTGTAGACAAACAGGGGGGCATTGTGGGCCAGGAGCAGCTGTATACATTGTACAGCAGAGAAAACATTGTTTGTTTGTTGGGTATGAAGAAAAAACGATGTTAGATAGTTGGGGTATCGAGAAAGAAAGAGACGGCGAAAGTTGTATGGAGACGGTAGAGCTGCCAACCACGTGTATTTTTGCGTAATTTTGCGGAAAGTAAACGTGCATACGGACTAATTTGTTTGCGTTTTACACACATCATGCTGGGAGATTAAGCTATTACTCCCACGTGTTCCCTATGGGAGTACGGAAAATTACGGAGATTTTTAAGGAGGTTTATAAAACCGTTATGCGTGCTGCAGGGTGCGAACTTGCGGCAGCTCGATGGGAAAGGCTGAAGCCTATGTAGGCTCAGCGCAGGATGTGCCTGGGTTGTACATGAAAGTAAGGGAACACAATGAAGAAAATTTGATACACACAGAGGACAATTTTACCTCAACGCAGCTCAGTAAACCAGATGTCGCTGCCAGATGAAGTGGAGTGTTTCTATTCTGCACAACCAGATGGAAAATTTTCATATCTGCATAGCTAAGAGTCCAATACGCGTTACCTTATCCATTAGTGCTAGATTGTACGGGTCCACCTCCCCAGCTACTCCGAAAGGCTCGCCTTCGGCAGCGGTCACGCCGTTGCCGAGCTCCCCGTCCTGCCTGCCGCTCTGCTCGAACGGCGAGAGTCGGTCAAGCAACATGGTCAGCAGCTCGGCCCTAAGGCGGTTCGTGCGCGAGCTGAACCGCGCCGAGCTGCACACGACGTGCAGTGCCGTCTCTCCGTCGGCGTTCCTGCCCCGCGGATCGGCTCCGTGGGAAAGGAGCTCCTTCATTATCTTATTCATGTTAGCTCGAGAGGCGCTGAGGAGCGGGGTGTCGCGACGAGGGGCCCATTTGAGGGGCACGTTGGGTTTGTAGCTCGCCTGAAGCTCGGGGCGACTTTTCCACAGCTCCAAGGCCTCCTCTTCGTTGCCGTCCACTATGAGGCCGTTGAAACGACTCTCCACGCCTCCCATTTGTGTTTCTGCTGTGCTCCCGGTCCTCCTAAAAAGACGACTGTGTCAATGGTAGAAGGGGGTGTGTCGCGATCTAACCACGCCCACAACCTGCTGACGCTGCAGTATTCTTCAACAGGTGTGCGGCTTTCCCTCCTCTCTTTGCCTGGTTCTTCTCGTGTGCGTGTTTGGTCGCCCGCTGGCTACACCACGTCGTCAGCGCAGTGTGTGCCGGCATGGAACCCTCGACGAGCGCCTCCGTTCGTAGGTAGGCGCGTCCCTTTGTCCGACGTTGCCTTTCGCTGCTGTGAACCGTTCCTCCTACGCTGTCCACACACAGGTTGAAGAAGGAGGTAGCGGAAATGGCGACAAGCCCACCGCCGAAGTGTTTGTAAGTATACATGCTGAGTTAGAGCATACTGTGCTCGAGGTTTGCCTTCGTCTTGTGTTGTAGATTTGAACCCCTATACTTATAGTTGCTGAATTGCCCGTTTACCCCTCAGCTGGTAGAGCTCGCGTTGGTGGGTTCGAATCCCAACCAGGGCAGCTCTTCTTTTCCTTGAAAAAAGAGTTGTCCTGGGTATCGTTGTGTTGCTTGGTTCTGGAGACATCGTTCATACATGTTTCGGTTTTAATGCTGGCTGGAGTCTTGACTCTTCAGGCCTCCCTTCACCCCCCCTCTCTCCACCCCTCTGCAGGGCGTCACCAGTGGGCGACAATCTGTTTGAATGGGCAGGCAGTATAATGGGTCCCGCTGACTCGGTCTACGAGGGAGGCAAATTCCTACTAGAAATGAAATTCCCGCCCGACTACCCCTTCAAACCCCCACAAGTACGTGTGTTGGAGATTTCAACACATTTGTTAGCGCCCACTTACTCCTTGGCATATATCCATTACTCTGTATATGTTTCATAGTCTGTCTGTTGAAATCACTCTTTGTCGGGTGGTTTAGTTTTGGTCCATTGTTACTGTAGTGTAGTGGTTTCCTTATTCTCCAAATATGATATAGTATTATTAGTGCATATAAAAAAAACCTACACAGTTTGTCTACGGGTGTCTGTGGGTGTAGAACTGCAAGTGTAGCTAATCAAACACTATAAAACTAACTGTGCTCGTAGAAAAATAATTATCAACGGTACTAGTATAGGTGTAATGTTGACGTTGGAAAGGTTTTGTGTGTGTAATGTTTATATGTAAACTTTGCTAAGACACACTCTCTTGCAACTCTTCACTCCAGATTCTCTTCAAGACCAGGATATACCACTGCAACATCAACAGTCAGGTGTAATAGTACGTGTACAACATTATACTGCTTGTGATAGTATAGTCCAGGATCTCTGCCCACAGAATTCTGCAGCGAAAACACATTGTGATACATACCTCTAAAATTCCCACGAGTTATAACCCTGAAAGTTTGTGTTATAGTCCTGAAATTGCTGTGACCACATTGAGCAATAGTGTTGCATCATTAGCTTATATACCTTCTCAGGAGCTGTGGTTTTCCCCCAAACTAATTACTATTATTATACACACCTACTATATCCTGTCAATCCCAACTGTTCCAAAGTTGACCTTTAGGTAAAATGCAGGAACCCAATAAAGGAATAGGCCCCCATTACGGCCAAAAACCACTGGATGGAGACTGCGTGTGCATGAGTGAAATAATGATTACGACAACATGAACGCCTGGGTGATATGGTCAGAAGCTCCTCCTGTCCCCTCTTCTTTGCCTACCCCATCACATTCTCAATCGCACACACACACACACACACTCACTCACTCACCCATCGTGTCCAGGGAATGGTGTGTCTGGATATCCTGCAGGACCAGTGGACTCCAGCCCTCAATGTTGGCAAAGTCCTCCTATCCCTAACATGTCTCCTACAGTCATGCAACCCCAGTGAGTCACGGGAGGGGAGGGGGGGGGCATTCTTAATGTAATTGATTTACTGCGGAGAAAGCTACACAACTGGCGAGCTAAGCTTGTCAACCTAGTCGTCTGAATTGCACGGTGTATTTGTAAGCAGACAGTGTTGCCTAATGCTAACACTCTTGTTCTATAATTTTGTATTATAGTTGTTGCCTTTGTTAACGGGTCATAGGGGAGAAACTAAAGACAGTGCTGCCTAATGTTCTATAATGTAGCTCCAGCCTAAAGCTTCATGCCTCACTGCACTGTATTGTAAGTTTTTTGAGTGTGTGGTGCTTATGCAGATGGCCTAATCAAATAAAATTAAGTTCAGGTTGTAAAGACCATTTGTAACATTCTGGTTGTCTGGAACTCTGCGCATTAGCTTTTATGAATGACAACGGCTCCCATCCCCTTCCTTCCCTCTCCCCTCCCCAACAACTATAATACACAAATAGCCTCGGGCACTTTTATTTAAAATTACTTCTTCAATCCTCTAACTTTCTAATGATAGCACACATAGACTTGGTACATAATATGTGTATTACATTATTTCCATGACAACTACATGTTTTTAATTGCACTTATTATTGGTGAGTGAAGGAAGCCTAACTATCATTTACACATTCACGATAATCATGTAGAGGGTTCAAAGTTTGTAATCCTACTTTACATACACCCACTCACTTTTATACAACATCCCCATAAGATGAGAGCTTCTGAGCCACACTACTAATACTAAGGGAAAGCGATTATATACTCAAAACGTAGCAATAGAATCACGAACAGAAAAGCTCTCATTGCGCCATCTGTTCTCTCCCCCCCCCCTCATCATCCAGATGATCCACTAGTTGGCAGTATTGCAGCTCAGTATCTCAACGACAAAGAAAAACACGATCATACCGCCCGACTCTGGACAAAACGCTATGCCAGATAGCCAGCTGCCTATCACTGTCACTTGTATTCATGAACTTGTCATTTCACACAACATTATAGTTTTGTGTTGTGCATGCAATGCCCATATTATTGTTATTAACCATTTTATGGACTCATGGATGATGAAAAATGTTTTATGGCGATACAGTGGAACCTCATTAATACAAACATTGTTAAAGCGAAATACCTGCTTAATACGAACCACTTTGAAATTCCCAGGCATTATAACACTAATACAACACCAGCTTCTGTTATAGTGAAATTCCTTTTAATATGAACATTGTTTGTTGATGGTCCCCTAGCTGGAGTTCATTTTAACGAGGTTCGACTGTAATTTATTTGACCAACAAGTGCAAGACAAGAGGATGAAGTTGGTACACGGCACTAACAGCCTAGAGACTACTTGTTTCATATTGGTCGGTTGCACAGTGTCGTTTTGTAAAGGGTGGTTATGCTTAGTGATATCAAACAAAGATGTACGTACATGACCCAACTTTGTCGCACGAGACAAACTTGGTCCATGCAACATTTTCAGATCACAGATACACTACGTACCTATATACCATCCGTCACATCACAACTGGAACGGAGCTCTATGCTGTAAAACAGTCTGCCTCAGTTGGTATAATGATATAATAGTAGAACAAGTTCACAACTCAACCAGTTCAACTACAATGTCGTTCCAATGAGAAATCACTGTGCGATAAGGCCATCAGTAGTTGTCTGACTGTGATGAAATGCGGAGGAGTGTGGAGGGAACATTATGTATTGGCCATTACCTCATTGGAATGAAGTTTCACATTATTTTAAAAGTACCCAGGATAATTGTACACATCCATACTGAACGATTAAGATAATTGTTCATATATATGACATTCGAACTAAAACATGATGATAATAAATTTCCTTCTTCAGCCTGGTAAAACACGATGCAGCAGTATAGGCAGAAAAGCCTTAGGTACACACACATACAGACAGACATTAGGAAGATCGTCAGCTTTGCCTGCAAGCAGCTGGATCGTTCAGCCAGCCAGGCGGTCTGCCCCGCCCCGCAGCCCTACGCCCCTCCCCCTCGTCAGACTCCTCCCCCTCATCACTGTCTCCCTCCCCGTTGCTACTGGCGATGTTGAAGCCCATCCTCATGAGCATGACCTCGAACGGGTCCACCTTCATCCGGTGCTGGTTCTCCTTGCACGTCTTGTACACGTCCTTTACTAAATGAGGATCCTGTATATGTTACAGTGAGAGGTGGAGAAGAGAGAGAAAACGGAGAGGGGGTTGTATACAGTACATAAGATAAGCTAATGCATAGAACTGCAAAGTACGTGCATTCAGTGTTATATGTACACCTGTTGCACTTTTCATAATGCCATAGGCAATTAGTGTTATGTGCCACGCTCAGAGCTTTCTCATGCAGTGTTCATAAAGCTAGTTTAGAGGTACTTTGAGGTTGCCTGCCACATAATTTGCACACTAGGTAGGATTCATCGCTCGCCAATTAACGCTCACCTCATAGTCAACTGGCTTTGGCTCCCACAGGTTGACGGTGCTGGCGATACCGCTGGTGGCCAACATGGGCCCGGTCGGGTGCCACTGGACGCAGTTCACAATGGAGTCGTCTCCGTGAAGCACTCGCACAATGTTCCCCGTGGCCTTCTCCCAGACAAAGATGTTCCCGTCGTCGCTCCCGGCCGCCACGTACTCTCCCCGCTCCCCGAGAAAGTTGGCCTCCTTGATGTCCGTGTGGGCATTCGAGTGGCCGGTGAACCTCTGTGAGTAGTCAAAGGCCCTGTACTCTTTGGAGTTCTCCCACTGGGAGAGTTGGATATTGCGTCGTCGAGTCCCGTGGCCGTTGCGGAGTAACAAGACCTTGGACGCTGAGGGGAGGAGGGGGAAGGAGAGGGAGGGAGGGAGGGAAGGAGTTGGGAGGTAGGTGGGAGAGGGAGGGAGGGAAGGAGTGGGGAGGTAGGTGGAGAGGGAGGGAGGGAAGGAGTGGGGAGGTGTAGGTGGGAGAGGGAGGGAGGGAAGGAGTGGGGAGGTGTAGGTGGGAGAGGGAGGGAGGGAAGGAGTGGGGAGGTAGGTGGGAGAGGGAGGGAGGGAAGGAGTGGGGAGGTGTGTAGGTGGGAGAGGGAGGGAAGGGACAGGAGTGGGGGTAGGTAGGTGGAGAGGGAGGAGGGAAGGAGTTGGGGAGGTAGGTGGGAGAGGGAGGTGAGGGAAGGAGTGGGGAGGTGTAGGTGGGATGAGGGAGGAGGAGAAGGAGTGGGGAGGTGTAGGTGGGAGAGGGAGGGAGGGAAGGAAGTGGGGAGGTGTAGGTGGAGAGGGAGGGAGGGAAGGAGTGGGGAGGTGTAGGTGGGAGAGGGAGGGAGGGAGTGATAGGTACAGATGGAAGAAGGGGAGGGGGGAGGTGAGTGAGTATAATATACAACATAGGAAGCATTCAGAATTATACACACGTAACACACCAAAACAGGGTGGCCGTTTACTACAACATTACTAGGTGTCCCACACACAAAGTAACACTGTGCTGTCTTCCACCTGGCGCACTGCAAAAAGAGACTACGGCCCTCCCTCGCGTTAACCTACTCGTTGTGGCTACAGAAGTTGACGCCACAGTACCAGAACTTACTCTCGAGGGCTGCCGCTTTATCGCAGTCGAGTCTCATCTTGTCACTGAACTCTGTCTCCCCGGGGAAGAGTGCCTGGAACTTCCTCACCAGTCGTGACCCCTCCTCGTACCAGCCCAGGGCGTGCATCAGGCGCAGTCGCCGCATGTGGGCCTTCTTGTGCATCGGACACAGCAGCAGAAAACTTTCTTACCACGTACACGCAATCGACCGCGTAGAAAATCACCCAATTCCTGCCGATGAAAAACAAGCAGGAAAGAGGGAAGGTATAATATGTCTAATATCGATCAAAGACCAATATGTATAACCGTACAACACAAACGGCTCAGCTCCTAGAACGTAAGCGGCAGTGGCTCACAAAACTAAAAAATTGGACCACATGACGCGTCGACTGCGCACTTGTCTCAGACCATTGCGTGCTGAGGATCTGAGAGAGGGTGCGCGACTCGACCGCACGTTGGCCTTTTTCGCTGTTTCTCACGCCATACGATACGCGTGCTAAGGAAACAGCCACCAGTACTCGCAGCTTTCCCCGGGTTAATTTACGCGCACGGAATATACGATATCCATCTTCTACGAGGTTGTTCACAACCCGTTGTGCACTCATTGGCCGCCTCGTAGAATAAGCCTCAAGCGCCACAGCTGCGACAGAGAACTACGCTCGCCCAGATTCTGAAGCACCGACGTGCGCGTCATGGTATACTTTCATGAGGTAGCCAATTGCTTTTCACCGCGATCTAATCTTCGTGGAATCAGCAGCTAGTTGTACAAAAAGAGAGAAAGCAAAACTCGCCGCCATTAATATTGCTAACAGTTATTATATGCGTTGGTTCACTAACCGTGGTATTGGGTGTTACGCTCACTTTTCCATGTTAGCGGCCTTTTATGCCTTGTAAGCGATAGCGTATGAAAGCCTTCGGACGCGTGCACAGACGGATATGTTACCGTGGCATTGAAAGGAGTCGCAGACCCAGAGGCTAGCACAAGACCCAGCGAAGAAGCTGCAATCTACTGCTTAAACTTTAATTCGCGCTCGTCTACGAACTGTGGCTCGGCCCTGAGAGAGCGTTATAAACTGTACAGCTAGATATGCGTCAGTATGGTTTTGCTGGTAATCAGTTTGTATCTAGAGTCGACAAATCATCGAGTGTATAGTTTGCCTGTCTATCCAATCTCCGCATTCCTCAAACACACACTATACAGACTCCACTCTCTGAGTCCGGTGACGACGCGTTTTATCGCAACCACCTAAAGCACTCCATCGTACATACGTGGCATGTGTCTTTCAACCTTCCATCTTCCACCACACAGTTACACCCTACACCCATTTCCATAATAGACAACGATCATCGCAACGCCTGATAGGTACCATCCACACTCACCTGACCACTCCACAGTGTGCAACTCCGTTCGCACCTGCATCGTCAGTGGGCTCCCGCGCTCTTGACCTACTACCCCATGAAAAACATACACATCCATCAGCGCCCCAAAGGGATTTACGCCACCACCTCAGAACAATCATCCGCATGCCCTCACACACATTTTCCACTACCACCAGTGCTCAAAAGGCACCTTGCACGTGCGCTCGCTCAAATAACCAGTTGCTGCAATTTGTCCTCTGCTATCTTCACGTCCAGATTGTATAGTGTTATGTGAGTGTGAAGAGCATAGCATAGATGCTGACTAGCGTGAAATGTTGTGGTGTAGGGTGTTGAGGAGAGGTCAAGTGTCGATAGTTGCGACTGGGGGCGATGAGGTGCTGAGTGAAGGTCTGCGTAGTTGCTCGGTACCCACTTGTACTCCCCACTAAAACTTCTTACTGCTGCTATTGTAGCGTAATCACTGAGCCTGCGCTGTGTTGGTTGTGGTCAATAATATAATGCAGGTTGTAGGGTGGGCTACGTTGAGTGTGTGGGGTCGTGCTGGTGTTAGGATAGAGGATGTGCACCTTTTTGGAAACCCCAGGGGTGTGCACTAGCTGAGTGAAGTTGTGAGGTCTCGGTTTTAGGTGATTGCAGGTTACGGTGAGGCTGAGGTGTAGGGTGTGGGAGTGGAGGAGGATGTTGACTGCTCCGGAGGTGCCAGTACTGGGAGGGAAAAGTGTATTATGCTAAGCCAGGTGCTTTGTGCTGGGGATGAACGTAGACGGGTAGTAGGGATGATGTGATAGGTGATGCGATGGTTGACAGAGTGTGTATAGTCGAGAGTGAGGTAAGGTGAGCGTAGAGCAGGTGGGCACGTTAGACTATAAAAACTATACTTGTGCGTTCGTCCGCAGCTCACATCCTAACATATATGCTTACATCGCATAGACCGTTACCAATACCATACGTTATTCAAGCCTCACCAAAGGGTTATGATCGGAAATATACATTTAATACACAAGTAGCATTACACTTACGGTCAGTAGGTGGTAGTTATAACTTTTATCCGTACAAGTGTAGTAGACTGCTGTAATCTTTCAAGCCTAATAATTGATGTTTATTACAGCCCATTAACCACTTCGCAACAATAGCACGATTCATCCTAGCTACAGTAATACCTTTACTGTACAGGGCTGCTCTTTTTTCCTGGGTGACGTTGATCGGTTTGCTACTATGCAGTTGCATAGCTCGCTTATGATTTGTGCAGCTTGCTGGCTTTCCTTTATCCCTAAAAACGGTGTGCATGTGTGTTTTCCGTTCGTAGATGACACATGCTGCCACTATGAGTGGTGTTTTTCCCTCTTCTATATGCCAGTCGTTACATGGTCTTGACCATATTAGACATATATACCTTCCCTCTTTCCTGCTGTTTTCTCGGCAGGAATGGGGATTTCTACGCGGCGATGCGTGA